TGTATTTCTGGCAGTCTTTTCATCAGGGATACTTTTGGCAATATAAGTCTTTTTTTTACCGAATAATCACTTGCGCTTGATAAAATAAAAGATCATTTATGGATAATTGCAATGCTCTGTTGCTTTTGAATATTTAGAATACGTTGTTTTATATCCTTTTACATAGTTGGCTTTCTGAAGTAACACTAGTGCGACAGAAAGTTTCCTTATTTTACAAAATGACAAATTCGTAATTAATGTAGAAAGCACAGTGACACTCATGGTAACAAAAATTAAAATATCCATCATATGTGGCCAATCAGATTTATTTGCATTTAAAGTATCGTTCAGTAGAACAGATGTCTCAGCCCTAATAGTGTTAATTTGAACCATTATATGGTTTATTAATAAACACGTATCATTGTTCCTGTTACATGTTCCAAGTGGGTCTAAACTAAGTGATTGTGGTATTTGCACACGTGGTAGGCCTAACACAACAATTCAGAAGGACAATGGCCCAAAGAAGTAGTTTCATTGCTTTCAGTTTTCCAGTCGGACCTACAATAAACGTAAAAAAAAATGTATGTAGCGTAGCCGGGTTAGGTGGGGATCAGTCACCTGATAGCACTATAAGACAACAAATGTTAATTTGTTATGGTTGGCCTTACTACATAAAAAAAAGATTTTGAAAATTAAAGATTGGTATACCAATTAGACTAGAGAACTGAAGCGCCAAGCCACTTAATTGTTCCAGAATTTTCATTGAAAATTGAATTGACCTTTCTGATATTATTCTGCAACACGTGCTTTGCTAAGAGTCATCATACCATGCCTAGACTGCTTACGTTCAGCCTTATGGATGTTATGTTTTTGAATATCCTCAGGATTGCATTTTTCCAGAGGAATCCATTCAGTAGAATCCTTGAATTGGTAATGCTTCCGTCCATCAATGGTTTTCTGTTTTACAATAGAACCTGATTGCAAATGTTTACCACCTTCATCAGAAATCCCAGAAGGTTTTAATGAATCTTTAACCATTTTGGTTTTTTCAGGAGGTGACTGACCAACACTGTTCTTATGTAGTGGTTTGCCTGCCCGTGTTGAGTTTCTCATTGTTTATTTTTTTCTATTGTTATTCAATGTATTTTTATATGTCAAGTACAAAACATATTTTTTTAGTCTAAGTATGTTGTTAAGATTTCTGCTATCATTCTAATAAAATTAATTAATTATTGTTAATCTTTTTATGGCAAAAATTTGATATAATTATATATCTCTGGTAGTTGAAGATATACATGAGATATGTGTTATAATTGCTTAAAATGAGTTATAAATACGAGCGTAGATATTGGTTTACATCTTGCATTATGTTACTGTATATAAGTGTTTGATTATTCATTAACAATGTGAGTAAAATATGATTGTATGTGCATTAGTATGAATAGGTTCATCTACCTTTCACAGCATAAGCGAGTTCTCTACATAAATAATTCTTATCACTATTATATTCCCCATAATTATTAAAGTCAATTCTTGTTTTACATCAGTAAATTGCAATTTCCATTATTTTATCTAAGATGTTAGTTTTCAGTTATCATCCATATTTGCAATGATGTTGTATTTCATGATTGTCTATAAATTGAAATTTGTATCATTGTATTATATATTTACTGATTATACATTCGCTCACTGTAACTTTGACAAAGAACAATATTAATAAATTGTGATTCAACAGTCTTTTAAGTTTGTGGATTTATTATTCCAGGAATAATCCTAAGCCGTCCTTAATAGACGCACTATTCCAGTGTTATATTAGATCTTTTGCTTATGCTGTGTGTCATCAAACCACTTTTGCCAATTTCTTATTCAACTGTATTGCATTTTATTGCATTGTCATTGAATTATGTACACAATTATTTTTGTCAGTAATACACTGTATCTGAGAAGTAAAATTGCGAGACATTGACAAGATCCGCGCGATTAAAACTCGATGAAAACTCTCATTAACCAATAATTTAAATAAATCGAGGTATTTTTAGATAACTGCGAAAGCTCTAATTCTTGGAAATGATTAAAAACTGGTTAAATAGACCAATATTACCCCCCAAAAAAGTTTTATTTTCAACTGCGTCATATCATTTTGTACAAATCATGATTTTCTTGGTCAATAAGCATTCTTATAAATGATGGTGCAAAAATAAGGGTGCAAAAAATATACTTTAAACCTTGAGTTTAACTCTAAAACGAGTATATTAATGTTTTGCGGGAAGCAATATCACGGTGCATATCCATATCGGTACCCTCTTTGCGACATCTACTTAATCGGTTCCTCTTACTTCTCGTGCATGCAAAGAGGGTATTCGTGCAATTACTTTTATCAATAAATAACATAAAACATAATAACTTTCTTTGGTGCATCATTTCAATTCTGCAATTCACCAGTCATACTAAGAAATGCACCCGTTAATAGAACAACATTTTATGGTAAGAATTAAAAATTAAAATATACTAATTCAACTTTAAAATACAACGGTCAGATCTTGTTTATACGTGGGGAAGTCAGATAATATCCGGAATTTTGACTCGTTCTCGAAAACCAACATTTTAAAAAAAAACATCTTTCTACTCTTTTTCAAAATATTCTCCACCTACGTCTACGCATTTTTGCCATCTTCGTCGGAGCTTTTGTATTCCCGCTGTGAACCATGACGTAGACCTATGTTTTAGGTACTGTGTAACAGCAGATATCAAAGCCGCCCTGGTCTTATATTTCTTTCCAGCAAGCAATTGTTTCAGTTCTGGAAACAAATAAAAGTCACAGGGGGCGAGGTCTGGGCTATAAGGAGGGTGAGACAACAATTGCCATTTGTAAGAGTTGCGGCGGTATGGGAGGGGGCGTTATCGTGAAGAAGGAGGACATTTTTCTGTGCTAACCTGGGACGCATTTGCTTCAGCTTTTCTCTGAGATTTTTCAGAATTACTTCAGAATAGTACTTGGCGGTGACAGTTTGACCTTTTGGCATGAAATGAGTAAGTATCATTCCTCGTGAATCCCAAAAGGTAACAAGCATGACTTTGCCAGCCGAAGGAGACAGCTTAAACTTTTTAGGAGGTGGGGAACCAGCTCGTTTCCACTGCTTTGACTGAGCTTTTGTCTCAGGTTCGGAATAATGAACCCACATCTCATCTCAAGTGATAATGCGATTCAAAAACTTATCTCCTTCACGATTAAAACGACTTAAATGTTCTTTTGCATTGGTTACTCTGTTTGCCTTTTGATCTGCGGACAGCTGTCTAGGCACCCACCTGGCACTTACCTTGCTCATGCCTAGGTGTTCGTGTAAAACCTTGTGTGCCGATGCCTTACCGATGCTAAACTTGTTGGCTACCTCTTCCAAAGTTACACGACAATTTTTGTTGACAAAAGCTTTAACATTTGCTACCATTGTTGGGGTCACCGCCTCAGCTGGCCGCCCAGTCCTAGGCCTGTCACAAACACTTGTTTCTGCCTTCACGAAACTGAGAAACCCAGTTGTAGGTTGAACGTGATACACATTTATCAGAAAATCTTTTTTAAGCCTCTGAAAGATGTGGCAGAAACTTTATTACAGAGCGTTGTTCCTCTAACAAAGAGTCCATGATATACGAAACACCTATCATTTATCAGAGGGCAAAATACTGTGTATACACAACTATCATTGAAAATAAACTGACCACGTTATTGGCGAATGAATGTAGTTTTCACCAATATATAATGTGTGTATATAGCTGCACGTGGAAAGAGAGGAGCATGAAAAGTCCTGATATTTTCTGACCGCCCCTCGTATATTATAAAGATGAATCGTTCTATGGTTGATTCAATTAATATTTCTTAAACTATTCTTAAATATTGACAATTTAGATTTCCTTTACGAAACAGTTACTGAGTAAAATGACAGGTTAGTGCTATTCCACGAAAAAGCAAATAAATAAATAAATAAACAAAATAAAAAAAACAAAATAAAAAAAATGTATCTGTGTGATCATGCGTAATGTTTCCTTCTTCGTATTTACCTGACTGGGAATCAGAGCTGCGTCGTATCCTGTACGCAAAATGTAAACAAACGCCGCCATCTTTATACGAAAATGGTATGTTTTTGTTTATAACTATTTTTGTTGAAAATGACTGAATACCAGATATATGTATTAACACTCTACACTTTTTTTCCGCTTCGTTCGGTATATGTTGCTTGCAAAACTATAAGGTAAAACAAAAGCTATAGCGAACTTGAAACTCCAAGCGGACCAGACATTTTATGAATTTGTGTGGATAGGACGCAGTTCATATTGCTTTATCCATCGTTTTTTCCCATTCTCGTTTCGGAATTTACCATAAACTTCAAAATACAATTTTGCGTCATTTACTTAAATATCATGGAAAAGAGGTGTTCATTTTCCAAGAAAATAATGATTTGTGCGAAATGATACGACGCAGTTGAAAATAAAATATGATATGACGCAGTTGTATTTCTGGCAGTCTTTTCATCAGGGATACTTTTGGCAATATAAGTCTTTTTTTTACCGAATAATCACTTGCGCTTGATAAAATAAAAGATCATTTATGGATAATTGCAATGCTCTGTTGCTTTTGAATATTTAGAATACGTTGTTTTATATCCTTTTACATAGTTGGCTTTCTGAAGTAACACTAGTGCGACAGAAAGAGTCCTTATTGTACAAAATGACCAATTCGTAATTAATATAGAAAGCACAGTGACACTCGTGGTAACAAAAATTAAAATAGCATTCATATGTGGCCAATCAGATTTATTTGCATTTAAAGTATCGTTCAGTAGAACAGATGTCTCAGCCCTAATAGTGTTAATTTGAACCATTATATGGTTTATTAATAAACACGTATCATTGTTCCTGTTACATGTTCCAAGTGGGTCTAAACTAAGTGATTGTGGTATTTGCACACGCGGTAGGACTAACACAACAATTCAGAAGGACAATGGCCCAAAGAAGTAGGCTCATTGCTTTCAGTTTTCCAGTCGGACCTACAATAAACGTAAAAAATGTATGTAGCGTAGCCGGGTTAGGTGGGGATCAGTCACCTGATAGCACTATAAGACAACAAATGTTAATTTGTTATGGTTGGCCTTACTACATAAAAAAAAAGATTTTGAAAATTTAAGATTGGTATACCAATTAGACTAGAGAACTGAAGCGCCAAGCCACTTAATTGTTCCAGAATTTTCATTGAAAATTGAATTTGACCTTTCTGATATTATTCTGCAACACGTGCTTTGCTACGAGTCATCATACCATGCCTAGACTGCTTACGTTCAGCCTTATGGATGTTATGTTTTTGAATATCCTCAGGATTGCATTTTTCCAGGGGAATCCATTCGGTAGAATCCTTGAATTGGTAATGCTTCCGTCCATCAATGGTTTTCTGTTTTACAATAGAACCTGATTGCAAATGTTTACCACCTTCATCAGAAATCCCAGAAGGTTTTAATGAATCTTTAACCATTTTGGTTTTTTCAGGAGGTGACTGACCAACACTGTTCTTATGTAGTGGTTTGCCTGCCCGTGCTCTGCCTTATGCCCTGTCCTGTTTTTCTTTGGGGTCCTCCTGGGCTCCTTGCCGCTGGCGCTTGTTGCTGGGTCGGGTGGAGGCTGCGTTCATGGAACGCCGCCTTTCCTTGTCGATCTTGTTTATCATGTTTTTTGGCCCCAGCAGGTTGAGCAGCCTTGGCAAGCTTTTGCCTTACAGGTTCAGGCTTCACATACTTTTTGATGCGTGATGCATTGATCAAGTCTTTCAGAGGAATCTGAGTTTTGCAATCAATCAAGCGATATGTGAAATTTGGTCCGAGTCCACTGATATAGTATGGACCAATATGCTTATGCATGAGCTTTAGTGAAATTCCTTTTTTTGTTCTCATGTTTTTCAGAAGGACCCAATCTCCTACGATAAAAGTTGGTTCCTTGGCTTTAATATCATGCCGTTTCTTTGACTTTTCCTGGGCAATTTTCATATTGGATCCAGCTATCTCTTTGGCAACTGTTAAGCTCTGAAGCAGTTGTTCAAAGAAACACTGAGCATCCATTCCCATACTTGTTTTAGGAATAAGGGACGTATCTACAGGTAAATTCATTTCCTTACCGAAAAGCATGAAAAATGGTGAAAATCCTGTTGACTGTGTTGCTGGTGACATACGAATGGCCATCATTGCTGCTGACAAGATGGAAGGCCAATTTTGCTGGTGTTCATTAACATAGGCCCGAGGTATTTGTTCCAGAGTCGAATTTAAGCGCTCACAGGTCGCATTTGTCTGAGGATGATATGCACTGGTGTGATGTCTGATTATGTCGAACATCTCACACAATGCACTCACTAATTTAGACATAAAATTGCGTCCCCTATCTGAAACAAGTACTCGCGGAGCACCATACCTTGTAAACACTTCCTTAAAGACAATGGTAGCAACCAAATGGGCCTCCATGTTTTCCATTGGAAATGCCTCACTCCATTTGGAGAAGCTGTCCACCACTAAAAGAATATATTGTGATATCCTTCCTTTGATTTTGGCAGAGGTCCAAGTATATCCATGTGCCAGCGCCCAATCGGTTCATCAATTGGCATGTTTATTAGAGGCGCAGGCCGAGGGTGCCGATCAACTTTAATTCGTTGACAGCAGTCACACGACCGCGCGTATTCAAGCACATCCTGGTAATAACCATGCCAAAAGAATTTACGTTTGATAGCGAGGAAGGTGCGTTGTATGCCAAGATGACAGCCACCAGCCACACAGTCATGATAGCTCCTCAAAACATCCTCACGGAAGACCTTAGGAAGAGCTAATTGTAAAATCATGTTATGGGCTGGAACCACCTTTTTGACCTTGGCTGATAGTAATGATACAACACACCATCTGATAAGATATAATTTCAGGACTCACGAACAGTGCGTTCTGCCAACTCCTTATCTTCTGGAAGATTCCTAGCAGCAAGATACATGTATAGATCCTTAAAGTCATCACATTCTTTCTGATATTTAATTATTTCATGATTTTCCCAAATTTGTTTGTTTTTGTCATTATCTTTATTGCTATTACTTAATATTTTATCAGGATCAAGAGAAATTGGTTCAAAATTTTCAGAGTTTACTAATGTTTTATGTGTGACTGAAGCATCCATTACACACGATATATCATGATACTGAAAACAATATGAAATATGAAAAACAAGATCAACAAGGAAAGGCGGCGTTCAATGAACGCAACCCCCATATGACCCAGCAACAAGAACCAACGGCAAAGAGCCAAGGCGGACCCCAAACATAAAAAGGACAGGGCAACGACACGTTAATCATTAAATTATAAATAATTTGTAACTGATTAGGAATTCAGAAAAGAAAATAATAATAGGCCCACAAAGGGGAAGGGGACAGAAGACCGGGGAAGGGGGGGGGGTTAATCAAAGAAATAAAAACTAGAGGCAATGGGGAAGATACTTACCGTAGACGAGAAAACAACAAGGGACACAAGCAAGTGTCACCAAAACAGTATGAAACAACATAGACAAACATCTGAGGAACACAGTGGGGCGCCGCCTTGGAACGGTCAGCAGCATAATAATGACTGCTGGGGAGTTTAAACCGGTTAATGGTGCACCAAACCTCGCTCTTAGCCCCACCATGTTCCTATAAACGAGACAGTGTAAATAAAATGAATCCCCGCCAAGTGAAATTCTAACAGTTGTCATGGTTACAAAAGGTTAAATAAGTAAAACACTAAAATGATCTTGTAGAAACATATAAAAGTAAACCCAATGACCATAACAAAAGTACTCAATGTCCTAAAGGAAGACAGAGCAACAAGAAAATCACCTACAAGGGCCCGACGAAGCAAGGCAGAAGACGAACATTAAGACAATTCAGTCCCAAAGGGCTTTACGAACTATCCATCATAGAGTCTCCCCACTTGGTCCGTCAGATGCAATCAAAAGAGGAAAGCGTAGTGTCCAACTGTAAACGGGTTGAACACTAAAACATGCAGTATGTCTTAAAATAGTAGGGTCATAACCTCTTTTAATAAAACGTTTAATGATTTTAGTAAAAACAGCAGAAAAATTTACCATGACCCAAAATCTTACGAAGTTTGTAAACCACATCGCCATAAAAACCAGGCTGGCTAATCCCTTGTCGCAGAAGAGTTTTTAAATCACTATTGAATTTAGAAATTAAATCAAAGTTACGATTGTAAAATTTAGTAAAATATTTCCGTAATTTATGATAGCGGTAGCCCTGTTTAAGAAGCTTGCTGGTAATAAAAATATTCCGCTCGTTGAAATCCTTTACGTTGTTACAAGCTCTAGCGAATCTAATTAAATGAGAAACATAAACCCCGTAGGATGTTGCATGGGGTACGTCTCCATCCAAATGTGGATAATTAACTATACAAAAGTTAAAGTCATCTCTTTTATCATAAATTTTTGTGTGAATAGAATTGTTGTTGATAGTAATATGAAGATCCAAAAATGATGTACTAAAATTTCAAGAGTTCGTTTTATTAAGTTGTAGTTCATGTGGATAAATGTCAGACACCATTTGATCAAAATAAGGATTATCTAAATTAAAAAATATCATCAAGGTATCTGGAAGTATTATTAAATGCGACTATAACATCTTGTTGTTTCTCTTCAGAGAGACTCAACATAAAGTCTCTTTCATAGCAGTACAAAAACAAATCGGCGACCAGGGGTGCACAATTAGTACCCATAGGAATTCCTATGATCTGTTTAAATAAGGTATTACCAAACCTGACATAAATGTTGTCTAAAAGAAAAGAGAGTGCTCTACAAACTTCGTCACAAGTCCACATAGTATAATGTTTAACAATACCGTTAGTAAAAAAAGCTTTGTTAGAATTACATGCTAGAAAAGTAACTTTTTTCCCGTGCAAAAGTTTTCTGAATCAGGGAAATTAGTTTATCATTGATTAATTTATGTGGCAAAGTTGTATACAGTGTAGAAAAATCGTATGTACTGACAGTTGAAGCTTGAAAGTTATTAATTTTGAATTTATCCAAGATTTCACCAGAATTTTTAATTGACCAGAAGAGATGTTTGCCTGTGTTTTCATAGACTTTATCACAATATCTAATTACATGTGTTTTAATGGCAGTCAAACAAGACGTCAATAAAATAGAAAGTTTACTTGTAGTGCAAGATGTAGAATTAGCAATAAATCTGGCTTTGTAAGGTTTTTTATGTAATTTAGGAATCCAATACATAATAGGAAGTTTGAGTTCTTTTTCATTTATTTGGACTTTAAGATTGGAAATATTAGTTATATGATTGTTTACAATGTCTTTTTCGGAGACAGAGGTTTTAGAATACGCATTAGTGCTATTTAGTTCCTTATGCAAAACGTTAATGTAATGGATTCGTCAAACAATTATAATATTATTAGCCGCCTTGTCCGCTGGCACCAAAACAAATTTTGAATGAAAAGCTAAAATATCTTTTTCCAGATGTCTTAAAGTAAGTCTTGGTTTAGGTGGCAAAAGATGTTCATTTCCACGATAAAAATTAATACGTGGGTAACCTCCACTGTTTCTGGCTCCTCAAAATCACTCTCTTGAAATGGAAAGGTGTAGATGTCCTGGTCTTCATCCTTTTTGCATTCAACTTGCATTCAACCGCAACGGATACACTTGACACATTGGTAAATTCAGAATGTGCCAAAATGTTCGCATTTTGGTTTTCGACTGTCGCACTGACGTCGACACCAACAGCGATGCATGGCTCCTGGGTAACAGTGTCAGGAGTCAATGCAGCTGTGTTTTGGGCGCTGTCCAGTGCAAAAGGTTTAACCTCAACTGATGTACCTGGCTCGACAGTGTATATACGTCGAGACAAAGCATCAGCATTTTGGTTTGTACTACCTTTTTTGTGAATGACATCAAAGTCATATCCCTGTAATTCCAATGACCATCTACCCAAGCGACTTGATGTATCTTTGCTCTTGTGTAGCCATTCCAGTGCCTTATGATCAGTGAAAACTTTGAATTTTTGATGCGACAAGTAATGTTTATAACATCTTATTCCTTCTACTACAGCCAAACATTCCTTATCAGTTACGCCCCATTTTCGCTCATCAGGACGTAGAGACCTACCCCCATAACAAACCACCCTCTCTTTGCCATCGGACCCCTTTTGACCAAGTATATAAGCCAAAGAGACATCCGAAGCATCGGTAGTAAGTATGAAAGTTTGGTTCATGTCATAGGAGCAGTAACCAAGGTATGTTTAAGAGTTTCAAAGGATTTCGTTTGTTCTTCGGTCCATTCAAATTTTGTATCCTTTTGTAACAAGATATGTTTGTAAAACATGTATGCCCCCTATCAGCAGCCAATTATTCATGTGATAAGGTAATTATGCATGACTTCTGACCCAGTGATCAAACAATTAATAAGGGTTATCAAGTATCTACTGGTCATGACCTTGACCTTTGACCCCTTGACCCAAAACTCAATAGGGGTCATCTGCTGGTCAAGACAAATCATCATACAAAGTTTGAAGTTCCTAGGCCTAAGCGTTTTTACTTAATTGATCAGAAACCGTTTTTACTTACAAGGTCAATGTGACCTTGACCTTTGACCCTTGACCCCAAAATCAATAGGGGTCATTTGCTGGTCATGACTAATCACCATGCCAAGTTTGAAGTTCCTAGGCCTAAGGGTTCTTTTATTATTGATCCGAAACCGTTTTAACATACAAGGTCAATGTGACCTTGACCTTTGACCCCAAAAATCAATAGGGGTCATCTGCTGATCATGACCAATCACTATGCCAAGTTTGAAGTTCCTAGGCCCAAGTGTTCTTTTGTTATTGATCAGAAACCGTTTTTTTACTTACAAGGTCAATGGGACCTTGACCTTTGACCCCTTGATCCCAAAATCGAAAGGGGTAATCTGCTGGTCATGACCAATCACCATACCAAGTTTGAAGTTCCTAGGCCTAAGGGTTCTTAAGTTATTGATCGGAAAGCATTTTTACCTACAAGGTCAATGTGACCTTTCCCTTTGACCCCTTAACCCCAAAATCAGTAGGGGTCATCTGCTGGTCATGACCAATCACCATACCAAGTTTGAAGTTCCTAGGCATAAGGGTTCTTTAGTTATTGATCGGAAACTGCTTTTACCTAAGAGGTCAATGTGACCTTGACCTTTGACCCCTTGACCCCAAAATCAATAGGGGTCATCTACTGATCATGACCAATCGCCATACCAAAGTCGAAGTTCCTAGGCCTAAGGGTTCTTTAGTTATTGATCCGAAACTGTTTTTACCTAAGAGGTCAATGTGACCTTGACCTTTGACCCCTTGACCCAAAATCAATAGGGTCATCTACTGATCATGACCAATCACCATATCAAGTTTGTAGTCCCTAGGCCTAAGGGTTCTTTCGTTATTGATCGGAAACTGTTTTTTACCTACAAG